TATTTCTCTTCATATTGTATATTACAATCCTCAGCTTATTATTACTATTGCTTTTTCGTATCATGGCACTTGATAATTCGTTAAGCCTTTCATCTAAATCTATTTCCGTGGGTGCGATCTCTGTACCTTTACCCATTTTTAATCCACGAAAGGCTGAACTCTGGTTTGCTCGTTTGGAAAGCTTTTTTGTTGCAAACAAAATCACAAACCAGAGTACGAAATTTAGTTATGCAAATTCACTGCTGCCAGATGACGTCATTGAACAAGTGCCGGATGTCATTTTTAAGCCGGATCCTGACTCACCATTCGATTGTCTAAAAAGAGAGGTCATTCGTGTCACATCTCTCACCGATCAACAGACAATTGATCAACTTTTAGCCAACGTGGAGCTAGGTGACAATACACCGTCACAGTTAAAACGCCACATGACAAACTTATTAGGAAATCGTACAGTAGACAAACGTCTACTATATCAATTGTGGCTCAGACGTCTCCCTCAAAACATTCAACAGATACTAGCAATTGGAGACGAAGACGTTGATTTTGATAGACTAGCAGACATAGCCGACAGAATTTACGAACGGTCCAAGACTCACCTTGTATCTCAAATCCAATCAAGCTCAGCTGACGAGATCGCCGAGTTACGACGATCAGTTGATACCCTTACGAAACAGATAGCTCAGATCCAATTATTGAATGCCTCCCACAGCAACCGTAGAGGAACATCCACAAGCCGTAGACGACGTAGTCCAAGCACTACTAGACACAACATTTGCTGGTACCATAGAACATATGGCAAACAAGCTAGAAAATGTACTCCACCTTGTAACTTTGCAAGCACACAGAAAAAGGAACGTCAAGACCGTAGGTTAATGACGACTGCACTCACTGACCACAACTTTCAAGACAGTCGTCTATTATATGTTACAGACAAAAGAACCGGCACACAGTTTTTAGTCGACACTGGGGCAGAGGTTAGTGTAGTACCACCTACTGCACTCGAGAAAAACACACCTGACCCCAAACTAAAACTACAAGCTGCAAACAGGTCTGACATCAAGACGTACGGCAAAAGGCGGTTGCAATTAAATTTCGGTCCTAAATCTAATTTTTCCTGGAGTTTCATCATAGCGGACGTCCTCGTTCCTATAATCGGCATTGATTTCCTGCAATTCCACAAAATACTGGTAGATGTCAGAAATAGGAAACTTGTCCTTGCCGAACAGAGTAAGGAAATTAGAGGAATTATATCAAATGAGACTTCCATACATTTATTAGTTAAACCTCATCATGAGAACGACAGATACGTCAATTTACTTAATCAGTTTCCAGATTTATTACGACCGAGTTTCAAACACGACAAACCGACGCATACCGTCGTACACCACATAAAGACAGAGGGTCCACCTGTGTTCGCACGTCCAAGACGCCTTGATCCCTCTCGTCTGGTTATCGCAAAGAACGAATTCAACAAAATGATTGAGTTAAGCATCATACGCCCCTCCGATAGTCCGTGGGCATCACCGCTTCATATGGTACCTAAGAAAAACTCTTCCGAAGTTAGACCGTGCGGTGACTATAGAGCTCTCAACAGCCGGACCATACCAGATAGATATCCTCTCCCACATCTGCATGACTTCACTCATAGCCTATCTGACGTGTCGATCTTTTCAAAAATTGATCTCGTCCGTGCTTACCATCACATTCCAATTCATCCAGACGATGTTCCTAAAACAGCTATTACTACCCCCTTTGGACTATACGAATTCGTCCGCATGCCTTTCGGATTAAGGAATGCTGCACAAAGTTTCCAGCGTTTTATTGACCAAGTGGTACGGGGCTTACCGTTTGTATATGCTTACATAGATGACCTACTTATAGCAAGCAAAGATGAAAATGAACATCTAACTCATCTGAAAATGCTTTTTGAGAAGCTAAACGAGTATGGGTTAGCGGTCAATCCTGACAAATGTGAGTTCGGAAAACAATCCCTCACCTTTTTAGGTCACGTACTTGATAAGCAAGGCATTAAACCAGTTCCTGAGGAAACACAAGCTATCAAAAATTATCCTTTGCCTGATTCATTCAAGAAACTACGACGTTTCCTTGGGATGATAAACTTTTACAGACGCTTTATCCCTAAATGTGCAGACATAGCAAAACCACTAACTGATTTATTAAGGGGACGAGCTAAATCATTAGCAATGACACCGCAAGCAATTCAAGCATTTGATCAGTTGAAAAGCGCTTTAAGCACAGAGGCATTACTCGCACGACGAAAGGTTGATGCACCTTTAGCAATAATGACCGACGCTTCTAACGTAGCAGTAGGTGCTGTACTTCAGCAACGTGTCAATGAACAATTTACAACCCCTTGCATTTTTCTCAAAAAAGCTAAACGCAACGCAAACGAAATATAGCACATTCGGTAGAGAACTGTTGGCTATCTACTTAGCCATCAAACACTTTCGCTACATGTTAGAAGGCAATTCTTTCACGATATATACTGATCACAAACCCCTAACTAAGTCCTTGATGCACAATCATGATAAATATAGTCCGCGCAAAATTCGTCAACTAGAATTCATTTCACAATTTGCAGCTGATATACGCTATATTAAAGGCAATGCAAATGAGGCAGCAGATGCACTATCGAGATTAAATATCAATACCTTCTCGATCCCTGATATAGACTGTCAAGAAATGGCAAAGCATCAAAAGGTCGATACGGAGCTACAAAAGCTTTTGCAGTCTAAGGAAACGAAATTATTATTCCAAAACATCCCCATAAACAACAAGGACACCTTAACTTGTGATACCTCAACAGGTAAAACTCGCCCTTTTGTACCTTTAGGTATGAGACGAAGTATTTTTGAGAAATTACACAATATATCTCATCCAGGTATAAAAGCCACTGTAAAGCTTGTCACAGATAGATTTGTATGGCCAAAAATAAACAAAGACGTAAGAAAATGGTCACGGGAATGCGTCCAATGCCAAAAGTCAAAAGTACATAGGCACATCATATCTCCTACCGGAATTTTTCCCGCCGCTAGCGCTAGGTTCGACCATATTCATATCGACATTGTTGGACCGTTACCGATTTCTAATGGTTACACGCATATATTAACATGTATAGATAGATTTACGAGATGGCCCATAGCTGTTCCGTTAAAAGACACATCAGCATCAACAGTGGCGAAGAAGCTGGTGAAACACTGGATTACAAACTTCGGTGTCCCTACAACAATTACGACCGACCGTGGAACGCAATTCGAAAGCAAACTATTTCAGCAACTTACAGATACTTTCGGTATAAAGAGAATTAGAACCACTGCTTATCATCCGTCTGCTAATGGAATGATAGAAAGATTCCATAGACAGTTAAAAGCCTCTTTGACGGCCGCACGAGGAGATTACAAATGGGATATCAAGCTTCCTTTGATACTATTAGGCATTCGCTCGACCATCAAACAAGACCTCGGTTGTTGTGCTGCTGAGTTGGTTTATGGAACAACATTACGTTTGCCTGGTGAATTTTTTGACCGTGCAACAGATATTCCAGCAGATATAACCAACTACGTACAACAATTAAAACAGCAGATGGAATCCATTAGGTCCGTTAAACCACGAACCCAAAAGGTGAAATCATTCGTACCCAACGAACTAGACAAATGCTCACATGTATTCGTGAGAAATGATAGAGTACGACAGCCGTTACAGACTCCTTACGACGGCCCTTTTAAAATCATCCGAAAGGACACTAAAACGGTTACAGTGGAAAGAGCAGGTAAACATGATACAGTTAGCATCGATAGAGTAAAACCAGCATTTTTAGAGAACACTGAAAAACAGACAACTGTAAAACCGTCTAAACCTGCAGCAGAGCAAGCACCATTCAAACTACCTGCAACAAGCAACACTTCAAATCGAAATTCAGCAGCAGCACAAAGTACAACAAGATCAGGAAGAAGAGTACATTGGCCAGATAGGTATGTAGCAACCACCATATTTATCTAGACCAAATCCTGAGACTACTCTTATAACACATAAAAATCCTACTTTATTTTGATTACTATTTTTTTTTATTGGCCCCACGGATCATCATTATGCTTACATTTTAACTTTATACAATTCATTAATGTTAAATATACACTTGTATATACATGATATGAAACGTTTCAACACACAAGCTGTTATTACAATTTTACGCTTACTCATCATATTGAGTTGTACTTTCATTTTAAAAACAGTTCCGTTCTTTATCTCTTTGTCGAACATAGATGTTAATCCAATTTTTTTTTTTGGTACATAAAAACATCAATGTTCTGGATGGGAGCTTATGTGGCAAGCCCATTTGGCCACTGTATCATCTGTCTATTCATTGTAACTTAGACTCTTAATTCACTATGTTAATTTCGGAGTGTATGATCGAATGCATGTCTGTACATTAACTTTTAAACTATTTTCCTATTGGTTTCAACGTGCAGATAATCGATAATTTATCTACACCCGATTAACCCTCAAATATATATGGATTTTTAACAAACTCACTCACTCTCTCTGTTCCCATCGTGTGCTTGCTCACAATACGCTTGTGGATTATCATTATTCATTAATAATAAACTATCTCCATAACTGGTGTTCAGGCTTCTCAATAATCTCGAGTAAATCCGTAATTCTACTAGGAGATTAAGCCTACCTTAAATACTCAGTTACGGGATATTATTATTTGGAGTCAGATATTAAGGACATTACCCTTAACAATATATATGAAACAATCGTTTTGTTAACCAATTTAAGGAGTTTATTCCATTCATTTAAGATAAAGTCAATTTACGTGTAGGCACCCAAACCTGAAGGTCAGTGATGTTGCACAAGAACGGTTAACTTTTGAATCAATAAATTTCAAACAATTGAATGCGTAAATCTATGGATAACTACAGTTAGTAGTAATAATTGTATTTTGAAAGATATTATTATAACGTTATTAAACTTACGCCTCGAGAACAAGGTGTCCCATCAGGAACCATCCCAGCATCTTGTGTATTTGCTGAATAAAGTCCAACACCTGCACCATTCGCATTAATTTGAACTAATTTGTTCTCGTCCCAAGTGGTAGGATCTGAAGCTGGCCAAACTGGATCATAAACTAGTGCAGAACATGATCGACCAGATGAGTGAATAACACGTGTTTGTGACTGAATCCAACCAAGAAGCATAGCTTTTTCATTTTGATGATGACACCATAATCGTCCACAGGACGTATCATGCCTGAATGAAAGAAAAAATTCTCTAACTTGGTGGAGAAATGAAATAAGCTAAAATTAACATTGAAGATGAAATAAGTACAAGTTAACGAAGATTTTTTTTCGACATCACTTATTGATATTATACAATCGTGCCTACATTGATGTAACAAATATATCGGTCTAAAGAACAATAGAACGTGATTAAATCATAAAGTTTTCTAGGATTTCAAGCCTTGAATGACTTTGAATACAAAACTTAATGTAGTAATAGTAGTAGCAGTACACAAAATGTCAAGATACATATTGAAAGCTTGATCCGGTGACCGTTGTAGTATTCTTCTTATAACAATATAGCCTCAATGATTTACATATATCTGATTGCAAAACTAAGGAAACAAGGTGGATATAGACAAATTGGTATGACTCATAGTTTTCGACACAAACACTTAGCGAGAAAAACAATTCACCACTACATTCCTTGTTTGACCTGCACGGAGATGAATAACGCTTCGTTCTGTAGAGTGATATTTCCACTATAGAGGTGGGCCAATTCGAATCCAAAAGCTTACTTTCTAGTTTTAACATGGAATTCAATAATAGATGACTTTTATCGGTTTGAGTATACTTTGAAGGCAAATTAATCATGATTAAGAACATGACTTCTAGGTTTTTGTGTGAAATTCAAAAATCATGAATAACGAGAAGCAGAAATACTTTTGTATACCGTTCAGAATGATAATGAGAAGTGATTCTTTGGAACTAAAGAGCGAAATTAGCATTGTTAAACGTATCAAATAATTGATTCTGTCTCTTGAGATTGTACAGAACAGGGAAGTCGGCACTAAGCCTAAATTTTGACTCCAAACCCAATCTTGAAACAGACCTTAACCAATTGGCATAACCATTGATAAAAGAACTAATCAAATACGGCCTCTTGAATTCCTGGACGAAATTCACCAATCCATATGGCTATAGAGCATGTTTTCATAATAACTGATGTCAATTTACGATGAGAGTTCTAACCCTTACCCCTTGATCCTATTGATAAATACCTGACCATTAAACTCTAATAGATTTAATTTCTTCCGTTGTGTCATAGTTTGATCAATACAAACAATCCGGCTTTTGGTTGAAGAGTGGCTTCAAAATCACGCTATCATTTTAAGATCCTGTTAAGCTCGTCCACATACTCTTATATCTTTACAGAACATTCTAACATTTATTTCATACCTATTATAACTTGTGATCGCCGATTAGAGGGCAGTGACTTATCGATTCGACCAATGACACGTAAAACACGTGCGAGCAGTCTAGAGTCTTGATTGGTCCAGCTTTCCGCCTAGCCCAGCCAGTTAAGTCCACATTACTAATCCGAGCCTCTGTGATATGAATCATATATTTCAAACATACTGAGTTTATGTCCCAATCAAACAGACCACAACGTACCAATAAAATATGAAACAACATTTGTACAAGAATTAGCCAGATGTGGCTGTGAATGAGGGAGGCAGTGACTAATAGACAAGGAATAATTCAAGAATGGAAAATCGTATAATAACAGTTCATAGGTTAAAATGAAGCTTATGATAAGAGAGACATGAATATGAATAGTTTAGTTAATTAACAATTATACGATAAAAAATATACGTATAGTACTGGTCCACAAATGGATCCCAAAATTATCATTCATCGTTCTTTTCGGGACATAACAATACCCAACCAAATTTTTATCCATGTTAGAGAAGAAAATGAACATCCCTAACAGATAAAAATAGCCCGTACTAATCGAAATATATCATTATTAATAATCTATATCACAGATATGGAAGAGATTTGTAGTTCAGGTGGGTGAACTCAGAAAATCAACTGCGTACATACTTTATTCAACAAGGCGAGGACACACTGCAATACAGTTGTAAAGCGGGAAAATGAAGAGAAATATCTAAAGCCTATCTTTCAAAAGAACGGCTAACCAATCAACTTAATTAAAAAATATCAACCAAATGCATAAGCAAAACGAAATCAAGTACAAAAACCAACAAACGCATCATGCTGCCATATATAAAGGATATGGCAGAAATTGCAATGAGATTATAGAAGCCTTTTGGAATAGGTGTAGCACACAAACCAACAAAATCGCCTCAACACATATAAGCGAACAATTGTTTTCAATTAGATCGTCATCAGGCTTTACTCTAATAAACATGAATATTTATACGAAAATTTTAAACTAATCAAGGCAATATGGGTCAATAATCACAATGAAATAGAATAAGTCTCTACACATAATAGGTAAAAGTACAATTTCATAGTAGGAAGACAGGTGAACTGATAATAGTAAGAATAATAAAATACAATAGCAATAGTTAAACGTTGGAAATAGGTCAAACATGGGTAAATAGACTAGGAATAGTAATCACAAAACATTAAAATCATTATGTAATAAGATGTGTGTAAATAATTAGGTAGTGAAAAATACAAAGAGGCGGAAAATTACAAACAAATAATGGATGTGGAAACAAGGTTAACGATAACACAAATAGAATAAAATAATGATAATAATAAAAATTTTTTAAAAAAAATTGTTAGTTCAGTTATAACTGGCCATGGAAGAGATAGGGGGTCACGTATTTCTTCTGTACACATAAATTGGGGTCATATGTACGAATTCCAATGGCCTCAGCTATATGTAGGAGACGGGAACGGACTCCGTCGGAAAATGATGGAGGTATACGATAGATAACTCGAAATAATTTCGATTTATCTACAGCATGACCGCTATCAATGAGATGTGCCACAATCAATCCTATGCAAACCAAAGGACGAAATGACAAAAGAAGAAAGACCGAACATCGTCTGCGAAACGAGTTGCTCCAACTGCGAAAAACACTACATCGGACAAAGTGGACACCTCCTTCATCTTCGCCTGCCCGAACATCAACTATTGGAGAAAAGTCATGACGTATCCTCGCTTATATCAATGAATGTGGACATACATTCGACTAGAAAACATATTAAGATATTGGATAGAGGAATTTCTATAAACGCCAGAGAACTTTTATAAGCTTGCCACATAGGTCAATGAGCAATCGACAAACACAGTGAAATCAATCCATTCTACCAACCAATAAAAAAATTATAGATAAATATAGGACCAAGAATCAAAGCACTGAGAAATACGATCAAAACAAAGAAGTGAAAATGATAGGTTAAAGGTTGAGGTCTGCAGGGCAAGATGTGAGTCATATGTGGAGAAATTCGAACACTTCACTTTTACCTGAAGTTTGTTCTGATAATGTTGTTCAGAAGAACGATGAAGGTTCCACGACCAGACCATCCAGCTCTGAGAACAGAGCTTCACCAAAATCTTAGGCATCTAACAATTGTGAATTATTTAGATGGTTAAACCACTCACTTCAATCAAACAGTAGTTTATGCTAGTTACGTCATGCATTTTTTAGAAATTTCTTTTCGATAAATTGGAAATGAGCGACACACAAATACAACAGGAAGAAAAGTGGTAAAAGGTATAAATGAAATAATATGCCTTTTAAGGATATCTGGAACTTTTTTAGCTGATATTAATGATTAAATTTCAATGAAGGCTTTAATAGTAATAATAATTGTTAGTATTATTATATTCCAAACGATACAAAACAAATAAAATTTCTTCACTTAAAATTTCGATTGAATGATACACATTGTTAAATGAAGAAAGGGGAATTCAACACTTTTTACATGTCATTCATCGACCAGATTTCTGTTCGAAACCTTGTTAAGTTCATTTTCTCCGTAGGTTTGCTCCTAAAACAAGTTCTGTTATATTATCGAAGCACACAGTCTAGATGTATTAACTGAAGTCAAAACCAGTAAAACTACTTTTTATTACTTTATCTGCTTCCCATATGTGAATCACTGTAATCAGTACAAAACAAATATAGTTCGTCAGAAAATGAGAGCCAAATACACACACCGAATAGCAATTGGAAATGCAAAGATGAATAATTACGAAAAGCAAAATATTTATAAGAGTAAAATTTTTCTTGATTGATAGCTAAATAAAAGGGTGATCAGAACGAGGTAATACTGAGTAAAAATGGTGGGGGTTCAAAGTAACATATTATTGGTTACTTTGGTTACGGACATTACTGACACTTGGTTCATTGCATATCACCATACAAAAAGAGAAAATCAATCATATAAATAAATAAATATTCGAAATAATTGTGGTATCAATGATTGTGAAAATGATAAAGCATAAGGGATAAGTTTGTGAAGGGTTGTATTATCCTCATGTTATGATTTAGGACTATTATCTTATGACTCTGTTGGAATATGTAAATCGAGTGAGGATGACTTGATGTCATGTACAAATACAAACTTTTGGTATATATTAACATTCAAGTTAGAAAAGAAATCCAAAACATAGATATAAAGGGATGGGTAGGGAGATTGAGTTTCAATGTGAAACGCAAACACATTCAACTGATGACCTTCCGAATAGTGTCAAAAATACGTATCCTGTATTATGCTACTATCTAGAATTGTAATATATACCGAAAATGAAGAATATATTTATTTATACCACTGAAAACAGTTTCCAAATATCTCACGCAGCATTTCATTTACACCAATTAGAAGTTTGTCGGCTTATGCATTCTCACTTTGAGTCACTTTGTAACTCAAAAGATGAAGATTGGACTATATTACGCAATAGATGAACTTGTCATTGTTTAGTTCAGGGACAAATTCATAGAAATCTGTACTCTGATGGGTGGTTGTGTCACGTGATAATTTTTGAGAGGACATAAGTCATAAAATAATGTGGTAATCCTAAAAGACACCACAGTACTCCCCACCTTGCTTATGTATAAAGTTACAATTAAAACCGAAATTGAGACATTCTTATAAGTAGTCATTAGTAGCGAAGCGACGAAAACTGATCAAATGGAATCTGGAACTTAATAAATGATATTCATATCCGTAGGAATAAACGACCTATAAGTTTGTTCTAAATCTCTGACATATAGTTTTTAAGACCAATCTACTCTTAAATTACAGTAAAACCAATTAAAAAGAATAACGAATTATAAGAAAAAAAGGAATATGATGAACTACCAAAATTACCATGTTTCACAAGCTATTCCTGTCCACGTTTTTACATCTTCCCATCGATTTTTAGATAATGGTCGGTGTACGCCACAATTTGCTACAGAATCGACATTAGATTTTCTACTCTTTACTTCATTTTCATAAAAGCAATATTTATCAGCAAGTCTGGCAGTTTTACCCCATAATACACGACACCAACCATCTGCTTCACGACAACCACCACGAATACAATGAGCCTTTGATAATGAAAAGAAATCGACAGAAAATAATTATTTTTTTTTAAAAAAAAATCAAGCATTGTGTTCTTCTGGAATAACGATTAAGTAATGGCAAAGGAGAAATCCAAAATACTTTGTTAACATTTTCGTCAGTTCACACATTAGGTACGTATGTGATGTAATGTAGATTTTTTGGTAAACAAGGTAAAGGTGTAGTGCAATGTTGTTTTACTACCAAAATACTGAAAATACCTTAATTAGTGGCTAAGATGCTTGACAGAAAACAAAGTAGCAACCAATTTACACTCAGAAACAACCATATAATGAGAATGATGACAACAGTGGTGCATCGATTGATTTCAATGAGAATTCCTTCAGAAAATTATTTCATAATGACGATGGTTAGATTTGTAAAGTAGAAAAAAGAAGGAATAACGGCCTAAGGCGACTTGCCAGCCAATCAGGAAACGCTAGATTGTTTAAAAAACAATTAACAATAAAAAAAAACAATAAAATAACGGTGAAATAACATCTTTTATCCAAATAATTAACCCAAACATCCCAAATTATTCTTTGCAGTAAAGGATAGTATTCCGAGTTATGGTTATCACCCTATAGAATTTTCATTACAACAAAACATTGGTTACACTCTACAATAACAACAACCCAATGACTCATAAAAACACCTGTAGACAAATTCCTGAAGAGCGAAAACGCTGCACGGAAAAATACTTGATGATTGCTTTTGAAAAGGACGGCTACCCACCCAACTCGAAAAAATATCAATCGAACCCAACAGCAAAAACCAAATGGAATAAAAAAACCAACAAACGGATCATCCCACGATATATAAAGAACAAATCAGAAGTTACAACAAGATTATTGATGGAACTCAGATCAATCAACAGTCAATGGACACGTTGAAATCGATCCAATTCATACACCAATTAGAAATATCATGGATAAATATATGATTAAGAATGGGGTCAAAGAGGGAGACAATCAAAATAAAGATTCAATAACAGGATACAGATTAATAATAACCAATCAAACTCAGGGTCTGCAGCATAAGTTGTGAGTTATATGTGCAGAAATTCGAAAAGCTCATTTCTACCTGAAGTATGCGCTAACGACGTTATTCAGAAGAATAACGAAAGTTTATCAATTAAATCATGTAGCTCAGAGAATGAAACCTGTCAACAAATTGTTAACTGAAATCTATCTTTACTGTGTAACTCAGTTTTTTACCTAATAGTTTTCTTTCAAAGCATGAACCTTTCACCAATTTGTGAGGAATTAAAATCATACATAAAATCTACATGATTAGTCGAACGAATAACTAACTAAATTCTATTAAAATGAACTGATTCTTATTCATTTGGATATTATCTTGTTTTTAAACCAAATAATATCTAACATTCAATTAAAACCGAGTATCTGTGCACTTCATGTGAATAGCATCATCCGTTCTAAAACTAATGGATTTCTACAAACCAAGTTTTGTACAGCTATTTTCGACACCACGATTATTCTAAGAGAAATTTGATTGGTTGTTTATTTTCTTGTAGGGATTTTGAGTGGCCAGTGCTACTAAGGACCGTAATTGAGGAATTTTCCACAACTTCTCTGATGCCATACTCATAATTAAAGGTTACAGAAAGAAAAGCTTTTTTAAATATTGTTTTGGTGAATAACCACTTTGAGTTTAATCTCCTTGTTTAAACAACTTAAAACTGCAAGGTATATTAATTAACTTAATTGAAACAGCACACCTAGTAGTAAATGTAATCAATTACCCACTAAAATTTATGAAATCGGTTCAGATTCTCAACCTTAGTTTAGTTTTTAATCAAACACGTCACCCATTTTTTCGCAATGGTGATTGAAAGGAAAAAAAACAGAATTATATCCATACATATAATGACTAAAACACTTTTGATTAATAGAAAATTCTGAAAAAATACGTTTGAGGAAACAAGTTAAAAATATGCAAATGTACGACGTGATCCATATGTATTCTAAAATAACCGGTATGCCAATAAGGACTGTATGGACAGCGTATTATCGATCGAACCAAAGACGCGTAAACACGTAGGAACGGCCTAGAGTCCTGATTGGTCCCGCTTTCCTGTCTAGCCCAGCCAGTTGAGTCCAGAACGCAAGTCTCAGCGTCTGAGGTATAAATCATTGTATTTCAAGCATACTCTGTTTATAATACCAATCAACCCGACCACAACGTATCAATAAAGTAGAAAATAACATTTGTACAATAATTAGCCAGAAATGGCTGTGAATGAGGGAGGTAGCGATTAACAGATAGGGAACAATTCATGAATGGTAAATCGTACAATAATAGTTCATAGGTCAACATAAAGCTCATAATAAGAGGAGCATGAATATGAATAGTTTAGTTACATAACAATTATACGATAAAAATATACTCATAATATTGGTCCATAAATAGATCCCAAAAATTACCATTCATTATTCTCATCGAAATACAACACTGATAAACACGGAACCTGCACTTTTCAATCAAACTCCGTTAAAATTTGGTACTCTATTTGTCTATGAGAAGGAATTATCAATCACTAATTCATTAAATTGACTAATTTTCAAACAAAAAATATCACTGTTTCATTGAAGTAATTCATTTACTAAGTGATTTTCCTTGTAATTGGTGGGGCTTTAGGGTATACTGTTTATGTGATGGCTATTGATACTACTACTACTGTTACCACAACTATTACTATGCGGTTGTGGAAACTGAATAGGGTATAATAAGGTTCAAATTAGCGACATATATGTTAAAATTTGAGTGGTCTAATCACTAAACAATTAATGCCTAACTCTTAGAGGATAAATTTTACCACAGGAGACTAGGAAAAACATACATAAACAAATAAATGATTGATTGAATGATCAGTTTGAAATATTTTGTTTTCTTTACCCCCCCCTCACAAAAAACATAAAATTCTGCTAATAACAAAAACCAATTGAAAAGTTAGCACTGATATGACTATTCATTGTGTATCAGCAGGGACTACGCTTTTGTTGTTAATGCTTAAAGTACAAAATAGTTTAACCATCGATCAGGTTAATTATTATACAGATAAACATAAATAGAAAGAATAAAAATAGGACACAAGTCAGTTCTTGTTTGTGTTACTGTGATTATATTACTGTTATCATCCTTGTTATGACAAATGTTGTTGTTTCTTTTCATTTAGATAGAGAAGTGGACCAGGAAAAATATCACATAACAAGCATACCTGGTTTAAAATTGATGGCTAAATTTGTAGTAGGTAATTTGTCGAAGATTGATGTCAATTGAGACATTATTAAAAAACAGGGAGCACCAACACGGTATAAAATTAATCAGATAAAGTTTTTAGAATCCATACATCGATAATAAATTACTGTGCCTACCATGAAACGAGTTGTTGAAGTTTAAGTAAGAAGCTGTAGCCGGTAAAGTTCAGATATATTACGAGCGAAACAGTAACCAACAATGATATTGGATGATTGTCGCACGATATTATGAATTGATTGGAGTTGGATATGCGTATCGTTGAATGTCGATTCAACAACATAATGGTTGAGGGCTTTCAACGAAAACTGTGAGAGGAGCTGTGGGTGTTTATGCTTGAGATGTCCAACACTAAGATCATATAACTAACTAGTACACATTGGTTCTTATTAATAACCTAATTGATATTAATCTGTGACAAAACTCCTTCAACAGTTATTAGGACAAGAAATAAAATGGAATGGATAACTGAATATAGAGAGAAGCAAAAAAGACAAACATAAAAAAACACGATTGGAAAAATAACGAAGAAAGCATTAAATTATGTAGATTTCCTGTAATAATAATTTTTGGCAAACAGTTCAACTGCATTGTCAAAAAAAAGAAATCAAGTCAGCGTGTTACATATTCACTGTAATTTATAATTTCAAGTTATAGATAAAACTCATAGCATATCGAAAATAAATTCACCAAACAGAATAAACTGTTTTATTGAGTATTCATTTCTTAATAGAATCCTATAATTAATTTTAAACTGTTCGAAATATTGATGAACGAACATTGTTCACTGTTAGAGATTTGAAAATACTATGAAAACTTAATTGAAAGTAATACATAACAGCATTATGACATAAATGTAATTCAATTATAGTTATTTAAATTATTACTATTATGTTAAAAAAGTAGTTAAAAATGCGAAACTTTGATAATGATCAGTCAAAAAAGCTTCAATTTGCAGAGGGATTAAGATATCACCTAGGACTGACGAACGGAACGAAAGTCAGCGATACAACAATACGACAAGCTAAGCGATTCCTCTGAGCGCCAGCCCGGCTAACGAGATGAAGAAAACCACATTTAGCCAGGAAAATATATAACTGTACAAGCACACCGGAAGAACGAACGAACAAGTGGGGGACCATGAAAGCTCGCTGCTAAGGAGTCACATACCAGGACGAAACAGTCGTGCAGTGCTTCCAGGTTTTCAATAATGGACTATATTAGATCGACTCGTGAATTCAACTTTGAAAATACTACAATATCCAAAACAAGCACACAACTCATGCGTGTATGTACAATACAACAATGTTGAAAAATGTCACAAAATAGCGTACTGAAAGAGAAAATGAACCAATGAAATTTAGGTTCCTTCTAGGTGGGAAACACAAGTTGATTGTAAAAATGGGCACTTTTGGTGCGAAAATGAGAAATTCCGATTTCTACAATAAAATTACAGAAATGAGAAGTTTTCCAAGTGATTTCTGGAGATCTAGCATCTACAACACTTTTTTATTAAGAAATTTTTTGAAAGTTCAACAAGAACGACACAGAATTTAAATCAATCAATAACAACAAGACAGGACGAGTGAAAGCGTGGCAAATAACATAATAATAAAGATAGATTTTTATACTCAATTGGCCCAATAACGAATGAAATGATTTAACACTATAGTTTAAGTTCGTGTTATTTGTGAAACCAATCAAAACA